GGGTGGGTTTTTTTCTTTAAAAACAGAGTCAGGAGGGAGGAAGCTTTAGGAGCTGCTCCTGCCTCTAGCACAATCCAATTAGCTAGTTTCTGGCCAGAAACTGGTCAATGGGAGCTGCCTGTTTCAGTAACAGGCAGTCCTGAAGCTCAGAGGGCTCCAGAGCACACAGCTGCAGCCTAGGCAGGGAGGCTGATTAAGGAACTGCTGTTGGCTGGTAAGTCTCCTGGCAGAACCTACCTCTGGCACACCAGTCCCTCCCTTTCCCCAATGCTCTTCCCCCTACTCCACATAACCAAATCCATTGCCCTCTCCCCTTGCAGATCAGGCACCCAAATCCATTGCCCTCTCCCCTTGCAGATCTGGCACCCAAATCCATTGCCCCAGATCAGTCCCCTCCTGCCCTAGCTCGAAACCCAGACCCCTGCACCCACCCCAATTCCCTGCCCTAGGTCACAATCCAACCCCCTCCATCCCAGTTCAGTGCTCCAGGTCACAACTGCCTCCTTCACCCAAACTCCTTCCCTTTACCCCAAGCTCCCTTCTGCACCCAGCCTTCATCCCAGATCCCACACCTTCTCCATTAATATAATGGAAGAGTGTGGCCCTCAACCACTCTGCAGATTCTTGGAGTGGCCTTCTGTCAGAAATTATTGCCCACCCCTGGTGTAGGTACTAATCATTAATTCAGCCATATTTGATTTCAAGTTGCATCTTAAACAGCTTAGTGATGTGTGTCTGTTGCTGAAATGTTTAACTGGTTCCACTGGAATAATGGCTTGCAGTGCTATCTGCCTCCTGGAGGTGATATGATAAAGCAGTGTTTCTCAGTCAGTGATACGCATACCCTTAGGGGTACGCAGGAGAAGTTGGGGGGGGGGGGGAAATAACACAAGTGAAATCTGGCAAAAAATGTCTGGGATTTTGCCCTGCAAAGGATCAGGGAGGGGGCAGCGGTACGTACCTGTCAGATTGAATGTTCAGAGCCATGTGCCCAGATATTAACGAACTCTGTGCACGCCCCCCCAGTGCTGGTGGGGAAAAGCGCATGGCTGCAGCGTCGGTGGCTCCAGTGAGACCCAGGGCAGTTACATGTTTGGGTGGGGGGAGGGGGAGAGAGAGATCTCCTAGTTCGTTTCCTCTCCGGCAGCTTCCTTATGGGGCTCCAGCAGGGAGGGTGGCTGAACCTGGAGATGTGCATTACCTTCCACCCCCATCAGCAGCTCAGTACAATGCATCCCCATTGCCCCTTCCCCATGGTGCTACGAAGCAGCACAATAAGCTTTGCTCCAAAGGATACCCCCTTCATCAGTGGTGTAGTGAGGGGGGGAGCAGGGAGGCATTTGTCACTGGGCACCATGATAGGGGGGTGCTGGGCTGGGAGTTCACAGCCCTACACAGTGAGCCCGGTGCTGGCAGATGACTTGCTCCTTGTAGTCAAGCCACCAAGGCAGGGCTTCAACTGTAGGGTTACCATACCTCCAATGCCTGGGTCAAGGGGAGGAGCATTGGGTTAGAGTATAGGGGATAGGGGTGCCTGGCTCTGGGGAAAGGGTGGGTGCATTGGGGGTACTTTTTTAAAGGGGGTACTTTATAAAAAAGTTGACACTGATAAACAGTTGTCTGAAATATACTTCTCTTAGGAATTATTTCTCAAATATAAAGTAAATATATGGCATGCAACTGAGTTCAGATGAAAAGGGGCTAATACAGTTTTAAGTAATGCAACCACCTGATCCTGAGGGGCTAGAGTAGCCCTGATGTAATTAAAGTAGCCTTGGGAATTTGTTTTAAGTTATGACAGCCTCCCTAGATTGTCATATAGGTTGCAGCACTGCTTGCAATTCCAGTGCGACACACAGTGACCCATCACCCCACCCCCAGTATTCCTCCTACATCAGAGCTTGAGGGTGTCCTCAGAGAATACTTTTTTGACTACTTCTGGGACTACTCTACAGTCATTTCTTTTAATGCAGTTTAGGCCCTTACCCAATATAACAGGGCTGTCATAGGGATGGAATTTAATGTCTGAATGTGTCCATAGATGGAAGACCACTCTTAACAGTTGTAGGAGATTAATGAGTTAAGCATAACTGAAATTAATGTAAATCACAGGTTGAGAAAGCATTCACTGGAGATCAAAGGCTTGTAATACCAGAAAAGACTGAAGTCCTAAGATATCACAAGATTCAATGCATCTGTAGTAGTTTGCAACTTATTTCAGAGATGCTTGATTATGTGGAACTTCTGCTCTCATATTTTGGAAACTCCACCCAAAAAGTTGCCATAGAAACTAAAAATACATGACACCAAATTAAAACACATGATTGAGACTAATTAACCTTTACTTTCTGTATTCCATAAAGCTACAAAGAGTGAAGTGAATAAGGATGTGTTATCTTCCAAGATATACTCTATAATTCTTAAACTGCAGCTGTTAAATGGGGCAGAACTGAAGAGATTGCTTGCAACTAGAAATCTAACAGGCTAATGTTTTTTTTTTTTTTTCCTTAATCATGAATAAAATGCAATAGTGTGTGCATTCTAAGTGTACTTTTACACTGACTATTCAAGTATACTTACAGCCATGAATGCTAGAACTGAGTGACTTGAACGTTGCTTGAAAAATTTATTTAAACACTGATAACCCAAAAATGAAGCCTGCTATTAAAAGGGAATAGTCTATTAGGGATATTAATTTTCAAGTAATTGACTAATAGAATAGTTGATGCATTTTGCATTGACTAGTGGATAGGGCGCGTCCGTCTTTGAAGTGTAGCAACCTTTGAAGGTGTCAGGCTCCTAGCAGCATTTCAAAGTGGCAGCACCATGTGGATCCCATGTTCTGTGCAGCACTGCCGCTTTGAAATGCTGCCTGGGGACACTTTAGCTGGCCCTGGGCTGCACCCAGCCTTTCAAAGCAGCAGTGCTGCTTGGGATCTGGCCCCAGGCTTCACATGGCACTGCTGCTTTGAAGTACCCACTCCTCTTTCTATACCCCCCACCCTACCCCTCTTGCTGCCTCTTTCTGATAAAGGCAGCAAGGGGGGGGGGGGGGGGAGAGGGACAAG